CACCAGTCACTGGATGAATCCAAAGTCAGCTGTGTGGTAGCACTGGACATTGCTGGCGCTTTCGACCGGGTGTGGCACCAGGGCCTCTTAGCAAAACTTCAAGCACTGGGAAATGCAGGCTCTACGTTATGTCTCCTCAGTGATTACCTTCATGGTAGATCTCTAAGTGTAGTTCTCAATGGAACGGAATCAGTAAGACATCCTATTGGGGCAAGTGTTCCAAAAGGAAGCGTACTGGGACCATTGTTATGGAATGTCTACTTCAACGACCTTCTTCATCTCATCCCAGAATCACATGCATATGCAGACGACTGTACACTGACATTCACTTATCCAAGAGAAGAAATGCCAGCTGCTCTAAGCTACATCAATCACCAGCTGAGAGCTATATCAGCTTGGGGAAATAGATGGTAAGTAACATTTGCACCTGAGAAAACGCAAATGATGATCATCTCTAGGCACCATGATGGTAATGCTGGTGCAGTAGTAAGGATGAATGGGAGGGTGTTGGCACCTGGAGAAGAAGCTGATATCCTTGGGGTGAAATTTGACTCGAAACTAACCATGAAGAAACATGCTGTAAATCTTGCAAACAAGGCAGCCAGGAAGCTTACAGCACTTCGCCGTATCTCGCATCTGCTTGACAGTAGGGGTTGCAAGATTCTGTACGAGGCACAAGTACGCTCACACCTTGAGTATCCTCCACTTTCTTGGTTTGCCTGCCTCCCCTTCTCATCTGTGACTGCTTGACAGAGTAGAGAACAGAGCAAGACGTCTCATCTCTCGCCTGGACCCATCCTGGATAGAGCTGTCATTTCAGCAGAGCCTTCAACATAGGAGGGATGTGGGTGGCCTTACTGTTATGCACAAGGCCAATATTGTCAAAGTACCACACTTGGATCCACTTCGAGGACAGCGTGAAACAAGCTTTTATGCCACATGACAGGCAGAAAGCAACAACTTCACTCTGGCTGTACCCATCTCCAGAACATAACTCCATCTGAGATCATATATACCCAGGATGACTCGAGTATGGAACACATTCATACAGCATAATGATGTCAACAAGATAAAGTCAGCTGATCACATGAAAACGCTGGCCCACAGATGGCTCCAACTTCATCCTGTTCCCTACTTGTATGTCTCATAACAATAAAAATGCTTTCAAATGAGCTGATGTAGGTAACAGCTCTTAGCTTGCCAATAAAGTTAGGAATCCTTAACCTGTAAATAGCTTGTCAATAAAGCTAGGGATCCTTAACCTTGTCAAACCCTGTGTAAAAAAAAAAAAAAGAGAGAGAGACAGAGAAAGAAAGAAAAGAAAGAAAAAAGAAAGAAAAAAGAAAGAAAAAAGAAAGAAAGAAAAAAGAAAGAAAAAAGAAAAAAGAAAGAAAAAAGAAAAAAGAAAAAAGAAAAAAGAAAAAAGAAAGAAAAAAGAAAGAAAAAAAGAAAGAAAAAAGAAAGAAAAAAGAAAGAAAAAAGAAAGAAAGAAAAAAGAAAGAAAAAAGAAAGAAAAAAGAAAGAAAAAAGAAAGAAAAAAAGAAAGAAAAAAAAAAAAAAAGAAAGAAAAAAGAAAGAAAAAAGAAAGAAAAAAGAAAGAAAAAAGAAAGAAAAAAGAAAAAAAAGAAAAAAAAGAAAAAAGAAAGAAAAAAGAAAGAAAAAAAAAAGAAAAAAGAAAGAAAAAAGAAAGAAAAAAGAAAGAAAAAAGAAAAAAGAAAGAAAAAAGAAAGAAAAAAGAAAGAAAAAAGAAAGAAAAAAGAAAGAAAAAAGAAAGAAAAAAGAAAGAAAAAAGAAAAAAAAGAAAAAAGAAAAAGAAAGAAAAAGAAAAAGAAAAAGAAAGAAAAAGAAAGAAAGAACTTTCATCATTCAGCACTTTCACTATCACTCATATATAATCACTGTCTTTGCAGAGGCACTCAGATACGACAGTTTAGATGTCCCTCCTAACTACCAATATCCTAAACCCCTCCCATTTCCAGGACTCAAGTCTGGCTAACTAGTTTCCCTGAATCCCTACACTAAATTTGAAGGGACCATATAGTGCCTGGAGAATTGGCAGCAATAAGGTTTGATCCTGGGAAAAACTGGGTAAGTCCTCAAAGAAAAACAGGTGGATAGACTGACAGGCAAACACAAGCTATTAAAACTTTGTTAAGAACTTGAATGGATGACCCCAAATCACATTTTACTTTAAATCTTTCCAATAAAGTTTAAAGTCCACTGCTTATGCAAATGTAGCTACAATATAAGGATTAGAGAGTTCATTTTATACAAGTAGGCCCTGAGCTTGCAACAATGGCATTTTCGAACAAATTAATGAATTACGAACACTCATTCTTCTGATATGCAGGAATACTTTGGGCTGCAGAGAGCAGAGGAGTTGTCAGCAAAATATGAAACTGAAGCTATTAGTAAACTTGTCAGAACAAACAGTTCACTCTTGCCTTTTCACATTTGCCGTTTTTAAGGCTAACAATAGCTCTCAATATCACTTTAACCCTTAAATGGTCCAAACAGATCGACGTTCAAATTCGTAGTGCTACAAAAGTAGATCTTTTTTTTACATATTTTCAAATATAACAAAAAAAAAAAAAATGTAGATAAAAGTTTTTTTTACACGTTTTCAAATGTAAAACAAAAAAGATCTACATTTTTTTTACATACCTTCAGATGTTGAAAAAACGTATATATATGTTTGGACCATTTAAGGGTTAAACTGATTTATACCGAGGGGGTAAAGGAGGTTTTGTGGGTGAGGGGCTTGGACTTCCAGCAAGCGTGCGTGAGCGTGTTAGATAGGAGTGAATGGAGACGAATGGTATTTGGGACCTGACGAGCTGTTGGAGTGTGAGCAGGGTAATATTTAGTGAAGGGATTCGGGGAAACTGGTTATTTTTACATAGCCAGACTCGAGTCCTGGAAATGGGAAGTACAATGCCTGCACTTTAAAGGAGGGGTTTGGGATATTGGCAGTTTGGAGGGATATGTTGTGCATCTTTATACGTATATGCTTCTAAACTGTTGTATTCTGAGCACCTCTGCAAAAACAGTGATTATGTGTGAGTGAGGTGAAAGTGTTGAATGATGAAAGTATTTTCATTTTGGGGATTTTCGTTCTTTTTTGGGTCACTCTGCCTTGGTGGGAGATGGCCGTTAAAAAAAAAAAAAAAAAAAAAAAAAAAAAAAAAAAAAAAAAAAAAAAAAAAAAGTCACTGGACACATTTCTAGGAGTGCTGCAGTTTGTGGAACTCTTTGAAACATGGTGTTATGTACAGTGCTGTTTTACACTCCTCACACACAAAACAACAAGTGTCTCTGCATTTTTGTGGTTGTGTAGGTTGTGGTTGTGTAGGTTGTGGTTGTGTAGGTTGTGGTTGTGCAGGTTGTGGTTGTGCAGGTGTGGTTGTGCAGGTTGTGGTTGTGCTGGTTGTTGTGGTTGTGCTGGTTGTTGTGGTTGTGCTGGTTGTTGTGGTTGTGCAGGTTGTTGTGGTTGTGCAGGTTGTAGTTGTGGTTGTGTAGGATTTTGTGTTGTGCAGGTGGTTGTGCTGTGTGGGAGGCTGAAGGGAGCCTTTGTTGTGGATGTGCTGAGTCAGTGGCGTGGCATGGCAACCAGCCTGGGGTGTTGCTGGTGGTACATGACACATTTACACCAGCACCTCCACCTGCTGCTGCATGTATATTATCCATCTCGATTGTAACATTACCCATACCATCTTCCACACCAACAATGTTGTCTTCCCCACCAACCATGCTGTCTTTCCCACCACCCACATGGAAATAGTCACCTTGACTTTTTTGGGTTATCCAAGGTTCTCCACACACATGCTATGTATGATAATCTATGTAACTGTATTTGTGTATACCTGAATAAACTTACATATTCTTTGAGACATGAGAAAATACGAGTTTCCTCTTTCGCTGTGGTACAATTACACATGATATGGCCCAGCACCAAAGGTGGAAGGTTGAGGGTCGTCTGGGTTTTCAGCACTATTTCTGGTATTCTGGGCATTGCTTTCGGTCACAAACTCCTCACAACCATGAAATTCATCTTCACTGACAATTCCATCTGTGTTAGAACTATCACTTGGGAAGGGAAGAGTCCCAATTCACCAGGGAGTGAGGTATTCCTTACCACTAGGCATGGTGAACAAGGTGTACTGAATTGGCACTCCCACAATGCAATGCTGCCTCCCAGATTTTTTTATACTGCGCACAAAGATCCGTTCTTTCGCATGCAGACCTACCAGCTTTCTCCCACCAGATTTGAAGGTGCTAGAATTTTGGCCTGAAAGCTGTAATATTATAGGACTGACGGTGAACGGGTTAAATCACTAATTTCGTTTACACTGTCATTCATTAAAAAAAAAAAAAAAAAAAAAAAAAAAAAGACGAATTTGAGCAGGGGGGAAAGTCGATGAGCACGTGCATAAATGGAAAGCAATGGTAATGAATACCAATATTTGATAAACATTCTTTTTAATAAAAATGAAAGATATTGAAGATTATGGGTCAGGAACTTATCTCTGATTAGAGCATGGGTGTTTTAACGAAAATAGACTCCAAGTTCCAAACAATCAACTTACAAAAGATATTCAGGAAAGCATTAACATTATTAGTGGGGGACCTACTGTACAAAGTGAAAACACTCCACTTGTATGGGTCATAAGACAACAGCCATCTAAAGAAAATTACTCATTCAATGAACATTTTTAATTATCCAGTTTTTCAAAACTTAAATGAAATACAATCCAATACATGGAAAACTACACATTTTGTTTGGCCATAAAAATATATATTTAATCATAGAAATATTTGAAATAAGGCAAATTAAGTGTGGTGCAGTATGAATAAAATACAGTATAAAGAAAATAACAAGTAATTAGAATGAAAAATTACCATTACAAAAAAATTCCCTATTATATGAGCCACTTACATAAAAAATAATTAAACAAATGGCTTTCAAATTTACATGGTACATTTTTAAGTACTACTGTTACCTGAAGTGAAAGAATATCTCTTTGTCATGGGCAATAGTCTCAATGAAGCCAAACGTGTCTTTTAGTGCAGCCACAAAGCCCTGATGCAGTGTGGCTGATGGACGTCCAGCAGAACTATTGCCATTCACATTACTGTTACTGCTGTTGCCATTAATACTGCTGCTGCTATGGCTGGTGCTTAAGCTGTTACTGCTGCTAGTTGTGTTGCTACCATTGCTGCTGCTAGTGCTGGTGCTACTGCTGCTGTTGCTGATGTTACTGTTGCTATTAGTTGTGCTGCTACTGCTGTTAGTAGTGCTGCTACTGCTTGTCGAGCTAGTAAAGGAAAAATAATAATCAATGACAATATAGTGTTAAATACCCATACAAAAAAATTACCTCATACACTTAGAATAAGTTTTATACAGTAGTACCTCCGTATCTGTGAATTCAATTTCTGTGGTTTACCACTACCCGAAAATATTTAGACGGTTGCAATTTGAGGTTTAATATTTTATCATCCAATTTAATTAATTTTTTTACTGTTTGAGTAAGAGTGCATAAAACATGGTCTTATAAAGTTTCAATAAGATTGGTCAATAATCAAATGAATAAAAAAGTATATTGAAAATTGGAGGAGGAGGAGGAGGGATGAGAGAGGAGAGGAAACAGGAGGAGGAGGGATGAGGGAGGGAAACAGGAGGAGAGGAAGGAGGAGAGGGAGGAGGAGGAGAGGAAGGAGGAGGGAAAAGGAGGAGGAGGAGGGGAAAAGGAGGAGGAGGAGGGGAGGAGGAGGAGGGGAAAAGGAGGAGGAGGAGGGGAAAAGGAGGAGGAGGAGAAAAGGAGGAGGAGGAGGGAAAAGGAGGAGGAGGGAAAAGGAGGAGGAAGAGAGGAAAAGGAGGAGGAAGAGAGGAAAAGGAGGAGGAGGAGGAGGGGGAAAAGGAGGAGGAGGAGGAGGGGAAAAGAAGGAAGAGGTGAAGGAGGAAGGGGAGGGGGAGGAGGCAGCAGTGGTAGAAAGAAGTGTATGACAATACACAATTACTATAACCAGTTGTCTCTAGTTCAACACACCAGAGAAACTGTGTATAGTATTACTGGGGGGTAACTGTAGAAAACATTTGTTTCACATGCCTTCACTCATAAATAGCATTACTCGATCTCAAAAAGAAGTATTGCACAAGAATGGGCATATTGCTGTTATGTATTCTACAGCAGCAAAGTGAGAACAACCTGTACACAATGTAAGCTGTTTGTATTGTGGGGAAAACTTTTCACAAATGCATGCATAATGCATAATAAACTATCACATAATTTACAAGGAATCCTGCAGAAGCAGCCATCAGCATTTCTGGAGACTAACACACATCAACAGCAAGCAGAAAGGTATTAATACACATGTGACTGCCAACCAGCTGTTCACACTCGGCGTGTTTATATTCTCTGTGAGCTCCATGTCTCTAAGAGTAATTGTGATAAAATGAGCAGTCGTAAGCCTCTTTCTTACTTTAAATGCACCAGAAACCCCAATTTCAACTGTGAGGCAGAGACCCCATAAAGATTACATGAAATCATTGCTGTTATTACAGAACACTTATTGGAAACCTCATGTTTTAGCATTATTTAACACATTACAGTCAAATTTTACCAGGAATGTAAAGCATTTTTTTAGGCTAAAGTTCTTAAGTTTAATATTTTAGCAGAAAATACTGTGTATGATTCCTACACTCTTCCTTTTTGTAAACACTTATGTGTTCTCAAATGCTGCTTAATGTGAACAATTTAAGAGGATTTCAACCTTGGACTGTTTGGCAGGACGGCTTTTGAAGGAGGCGCGATGTATGGATAGAACTTGGTCCGAGGGTTGCCAGGCAGTATTTTCACTCCCACTGCTATAAGCTCTTTGGTGCGTTTAACTTGGTATATGTTGAACTCCACCTGAATGATGTACAAAAGCTTTCAGATGATTATCACTACTGGTAAACTATTAGTTACAAGGGACCTGTTTAAAACATTAATGAAAGAACCATTTTCTAGGTAAGTGCTGAAATAAATTAATTCAAATGTATATGTAAACAATGATTGGGCTATAAGAGCATTACTGGTTATTACTATAATCACTCTCTATATTTCAATAAATTATTGGTAGTTACCACACTTATGCTTATCCCTAGCTAAAAGCTACAATTGTAGTTTTAGCACTGTCCTTTTATAATGTTAACTAAAGATGCAATAAAGCAATCTGAAATTTTTGAATTTATGGTGGGTTACTGAACTAAATAATAATAGCAAGGAATATGTAAAATTTCACCAAACTTAGCTATCTATAATCTATCAGCAGTCAAACTTGAAACCTCTTGAAATTAAAGTCTTTACTTAGAAAACCAATATGGTGTAATCAACAAATTCCTACAAGTGAAAGGTTTTTAGATTCTAAATTTAATATTTTTGTCAGAGAGCTGAAGAAATGCATATATACCTTATCAGACAGTACTGGAGGACTGTCAAAACTTTTGGCATAGTAATTGATAGTTTTTTTCACTCCATCCTCAACATACGAGATAAGTCCCCCTGGAACTTCCTCCCTGTCAGGTGTCGGATCCGGTATCATAATCTGTAACCAAATTCATGTTGGTATTGGTGTTAAATACAAGAGCTGCAGGAAAAAAGTAAAAGAAAAAAAAAACTGAAGAGCACGTAATAGAGAAATAAATAAATGCTAGGGTAACAGAGAAAGGTATGGGATCAAAAGATAAAGAGTCTACTAATACAAAGTTGGAGGTTGTCAAATTTGCATTTTGCAAATGACGGTGCTTTTGGGAGATTCTGAAGAGAAGTTGAAAAAGGTTAGTGAAGAAATTTGGGAGGGGATGTAAAAAAAGGAAATTAAAAATCAACATAGGAAAGAGCATGCTGAGGAGGGAAACAAAAAATTTTGGTAATGAAAGACAGGACATTAACTGAAAGGAGGGTGGATGGAGAAAGCAAATGTGTCCAGATGCCTGAGAGTGGATTTGTCAGCGGATGGGTCTATGAAAGATGAGGTGAACCATAAATCTGCAAGGGAAAAAAAGGGGTTTTTTGGACACAAACAAACGGGCCTGACAGAATTTAAAAAAGGGGATATAAATGAAAAAACCCCATGGTTACCCCCAACTTTTTAAAATGGGGGGGGTGAAGCATAGGTTTTTTAAATAAATGCATCAAGGAGGGGGGTTAAAGGCAGGGGCCGGGGAGATAACCATTTTTTTAGGAGTGAAGAACAGCGGGATTTAGTGGGGGGGAGGTCCCAGAGGCAAAAAAAAAAAAATTGGGGGTTAAAGCAGCTGGAACTGACGGGATCATGAAAAGTGTTAAAGCGGGGGAATATCCCGTTTTGGGGATTTGGTTTGTTTTTTTTTTAAATAAATGTTTTTGAAAGAGGGGAAGGAAACCTAGGGTTTGGTGGAGAGCATGTATGGGCCCCTTTATAAAAAGGGGAAAGGGGACAAAAGGATTGTAAAAAATTATAAAAGGAATAATTTTTACTGAAAATATGGGAAAAGTTTTACGGTAGGGTTTTTACTGATAAAAAATTAAAAGGGGGTAAGACAGAATGTGGATTGCATGATGAGCAAGGGGTTTCAGAGTGATAGGGGATGTTTAGACCCAAGTGTTTACTTTAAAGCTTTATATGTGAACGTATTTAAAAAAGGGGTGGGGAAATTTTTTTATTGCTTTTAAAGGTTTTTAAAAAAAGGCATTTTGATAGAGGGGAAATAGAGGAGCAATGTGGCAGATGTTGAAAGGGATATCAAATAGGGGGTAATTTAAATAAATGTTTTAAAGATTTTTTAATGAGGATAGTGGGGCTCGGGTTAGGGGGTGTTTTAGAAGAGGGGGAGAAAAATTTTTATTTTTTTTTTTTTTTTTGGCCCATTCCCCCCGGGGGGGGAAAAAAAAAAAAACTTTAACCCCCCTTTGGGTTTTAAAATTTTTTAAAAAGGAAAAAAAAACCCCCCCCAAACCCCCAACCCCCCCCCCCCCCGGGCCCCTTTTTTTCCCCCCGGGGAGTTTCCCCAACCCCCAAAAAATTTTCCCCTTTTCCCCTTTCCCCCAAAAAAGAAAACCCCCCCCAAAAACCTTCCCCCCCCCCCCCCCCTTTTTTTCCCCCCCCCCCCAAAAAAAACCCCCCCCCAACCCCCCCCCCCCCCCCCCCTTAAAAAAGGGTTTTTTTTTTTTTCCCCCCCTCAAAAACCCCCTTCCCCCCCCCCCCCCCCCTTTTTTTTTTTTAAAATTTTTAAACCCCCCCCCCAAAAAACCCCCCAAAAAAAAAATTCCCCCCTTTTTTTTTCCCCCCCCTTTTTAACCCCCCTTTTCCCCCCAAAAACCCCTTTAAAAATTTTCCCCAAAAATTCCCCCCCCTTAAAACGGGTTTTTTCCCCAAAAAAACCCCCCCCTTTTTAAAAAAAATTTTTCCCCAAAAAACCCCCCCAAAAAACCCCCCCCCTTTTTTCCCCCCCTTTTTTTTTTCTTTCCCAAACCCCCCTTTTCCCCCCCCCCCAAAAAAAATTTTTTTCCCAAACCCCCCCCAAAAAATTTTTTTTTTTAAAACCCAAACCTTTTAAAACCCAAAAAATTTTTTCCCCTTTTAAAAAAAAACCCCCCCCAAAAAAAAAAATTTTTAAAAATCCCCCTTTTTTTTAAAACTTTAAAACCCCCTTTTTCCCAAAAACCCCCAAAAAACCCCCTTTTTTATTTTTAAAAATTTTTTTTTTTCCCCCCCCCCGCCTTTTTTTAAAAAACCCCAAAAAAAAACCCCCGGGCCCCCACCCCAAAAATTTTTTGGTTTATTTTTACCCCAAAAATTTTTTTTTCCCCCCTTTTTCCCCCCCCCCCTTTTTTTAAACCTTTCCCAAATTTTTTAAAAACCCCTTTTTTTAAAATTTTTTCCCCTTTTTTCCCCAAAAACCCCCCCCCCCAAACCCCCCCTTTTTTTTTTAACCTTTGTTTTTTCCCCCCTTTTCCCCCCTTTTTTTTTTAAAAAAAAAAATTTTTAAAAACCCCCCCCCTTTTTTTTGAAAATTTTAAAACCCTTTTTTTAATTTTTTTTTAAAAAAAAAAAACCCCCTTTTTTTTTGGGGGGGGAAAATTTTGGGGGGAAAAAAATTTTTTCCCCCCGGGTTTTTTTTTTTTGGGGTTTAAAAAAAAGGAAAAAAAAGGGGGGGGTTTTTTTGGGGGGGGGGGGGGAAAAAAAGGGGGGGAAAAAAAAAAAAAAAAAAAGGGGGGGGAAAAAAAAAAAAAAAAAAAAAAATTTCCCGGTTTTTGGGGAAAAAAGGGGGAAAATTTTAAAAAAAATTAAAAAATTTTTTTTTTGGGAAAAAAAAACCCAATTTGGGGGGGGGGGAAAAAAAACCCCCCTTTTTTTAAAAAGGGGGGGGTTTTTTTTTAAAAAAAAAAAAAGGGGAAAAAAAAAGGGGGGGGAAAAAAAAACCCCCTTTTTTTTTTTAAAAAAATTTTTTAAAAAAAAAAAAACCTTTTTTTTTTCCCCGGGCCCGGGGGAAAAACCGGGCCCCCGGGGGGGAAGGCCCCCCCAAAAAAGGGGTTAAAAAAAAATTTGGGGGGAAATTAAAAAAAAAAAAAAAAAAAAACCCCCGGGGGGGGGGGGGGTTTTTTTAAGGGGGGGGGGTTTTTTTTTCCTTTCAATTGGGGGGGGGGGGCCCCCCCGGGGGGGGGGGGGAAAGGGGGAAAAAGGGGGGTTTTTGGGGGGGGGGTTTTTGGGGGGGGAAAAACCCCCCCCGGGGGGGGGGGGAAAAAGGGGGGGAGGGGAAAAAAATTTTAAAAAAAAAAGGGAAAAAAAAAAAAAGGGTTTTTAACCCCCCCCCAAAAAAAAAAAAAACCCAAAGGGGGGGGGTGGGGGGGGGTTTTTTTGGGGGGGGGGGAAATTTTTAAATTTTAAAATTTTTTCCCCCCCCCCTTTTTTTTTTTAAAAAAAAAAAAAAAAGGGGGGGGGGGAAAAAAAAAAAAAAAAAGGGGTTTTTTTTTTTTTTTTTTTTTGGGGTTTGGGGGGGTTTTTTTTTTTTTTTGGGGGGGGGGGGGGGGGGGGAAAAAAAAAAAAAAAGGGGGGCCCAAAAAAAATTTTTTGGGGGGGGTTTAAAAAAAAAGGGGGGGGAAAGGGGGGGGTTTTTTTTTTTTTCCCCCACCTTAAAAATTTTTTAAAAAAACCCCCAAAAAAAAACCCCCCCCCCCCCCCCCCCACCCCCAAACCCCACCCCCTTCCCCCCCCAAAAAAAAAACCCCCCCCCAAAAAAACCCCCCCCCCCCCCAAAAAATTTTTTTCCCTTTAAAAAAAAAAAAAACCCCCCCCCCCCCCCCCCCCCCAAACCCCCCCCAAAAAAAAACCCCCCAACCCCCCCCCCCCCCCCCCTTTTCCCCCCTTCCCCCCTTTTTTTTAAAAACCCAAAAATTTTTTTGGGGGGGTTAAATTTTTAAAGAAAAAAATTTTTAACCCAATTTTTGGGGGAAAAAAAAACCCCCTTTTTTATTTTTTTTTCCCCCCCCCCCCCCGGGGGGAAAAACCCCGACTTGATCCGGGAAATGGGAAGTACAAATGCCGCACTTTAAAGGAGTTTTTTGGGGGTTTTTTTGGCATTTTTGGGGGGAATGTTGTGAAACTTTATACGTATATGCTTCTAAACTGTTGTATTCTGAGCACCTCTGCAAAAACAGTGATAATGTGTGTGTGGTGAAAGTGTTGAATGATGAAAGTATTTTCTTTTTGGGGATTTTCTTTCTTTTTTGGGTCACCCTGCCTCGGTGGGAGACGGTCGACTTGTAGAAAAAAAAAAAATATATATTTTTGTTTTAAGGGCTCTTCCATTATGACAATCAACAGCAAATTTTGACAAAAGGGCAAATCTTTCAGCTAGCTGAGGTATTAAAAAAAATAAAAGTGTAGGGAAAGGGGTGGGAGTAATGCTGGATTATTAGATCCAGCTCCTCCTACCTTGCCATCCTGATACGGTGATTTAGTCTCAAAGTATTAATTATTCAAGAAACCAATGTGAACTTACCTGACCCTGCACACCCTCTGTGACTAGCACTTCAAACTTGACTGTGCCTGAATTTACCCGATGAATACGGATCGCACTCTGGCGGTTTGGAGACTGATTTGTTGTATCCTGTTTTGGAAATAAATATTAAAATTAAATAAAAATTTTCACATTGAGCAATATATGCAATAAAATCTAACAACTCTTAACCATTTCAGTGGCCGTTATATAAAACTGTCTTTGAGGCCAGGGTTCCTCATGTAGTTTTATATCATGAGCTCAGTTCACTCAGATAATCTGTGAGTGGTAAATTTTGGCTTAGATGTTAGGGAATAGGTTAGCACAGTGAGTGTGCACAGTATAAAAAAAATCCTGCACCATGCAGTGCATGATGGGAAAAGAGAAACTCTGACCATGTATCTGGTTTAAAACAGTTACCGAGTTTTCTAGGATGGTTTTTATGGTTTTATTGGCGGTTTCTTGGTATCATTTAATGGAACGAAAGACATACTACTAAAATAAGAGATAACTTTTGTTGGTTAAGAACCAAAAGTAGCTTGAAACTGGGCTCAAAGTAGCAGAAATATTAGATATTTGCTGATTCTGAGGATAGGTAAGGCCTGTCCCCTACATCCCCCAGCCTGTTTTATGGGGTATTAATAGGTCTGATTCAAGAGTAAACAAATGACGTCACCATCCAATACGTGGCCAACTGGACAGTCTAATACACAGTCATGAATGGGTTGACATTATTTATTTTTTTTTTTTTATTATCACACCGGCCGATTCCCACCAAGGCAGGGTGGCCCGAAAAAGAAAAACTTTCACCATCATTCACTCCATCACTGTCTTGCCAGAAGGGTGCTTTACACTACAGTTTTTAAACTGCAACATTAACACCCCTCCTTCAGAGTGCAGGCACTGTACTTCCCATCTCCAGGACTCAAGTCCGGCCTGCCGGTTTCCCTGAATCCCTTCATAAATGTTACTTTGCTCACACTCCAACAGCACGTCAAGTATTAAAAACCATTTGTCCCCCATTCACTCTATCAACACCTCACGCATGCCTGCTGGAAGTCCAAGCCCCTCGCACACAAAACCTCCTTAACCCCCCCTCCCTCCAACCCTTCCTGGGGCCGACCCCTACCCCGCCTTCCTTCCACTACAGACTGATACACTCTATGAAGTCATTCTGTTTCGCCTCCATTCTCTCTACATGTCCAAAACCCCCTCAACAACCCCTTCCTCAGCCCTCTGGACAACAGTTTTTGGGAATCCCGCACCTCCCCTAACTTTCCAAACTACGAATTCTCTCATTATATTCACACCACACACTGCCCTCAGACATGACATCTCCACTGCCTCCAGCCTTCTCCTCGCTGCAACATTCATCACCCACGCTTCACACCCATATAAGAGCGTTGGTAAAAACTATACTCTCATAATCCCCTCTTTGCCTCCAAGGACAAAATTCTTTGTTTCCACAGACTCCTAAAATGCACCACTCACTCTTTTTCCCTCATCATTTTTATGATTCACCTCATCTTTCATAGAACCCATCCGCTGACACGTCCACTCCCAAATATCTGAATACGTTCACCTCCTCCAACTCTTCCCCTCCAATCTGATATTCAATCTTTTATCACCTAATCTTTTTGTTATCCTCATAACCTTACTCTTTCCTGTATTCACCTTTAATTTTCTTTCTTTTGCACACCCACCAAATTCATCCACCAATCTCTGCAACTTCTCTTCAGAATCTCCCAAGAGCACAGTGTCAATCAGCAAAGAGCAGCTGTGACAACTCCCACTTGTGTGTGATTCTTTATCTTTTAACTCCCACGCCTCTTGCCAAACCCTCGCATTTACTTCTCTTACAACCCCATCTATAAATATAATAAACAACCACGGTGACATCACACATCCTTGTCTAAGGCCTACTTTTACTGGGAAAAAATTTCCTCTTTTCCTACATACTCTAACTTGAGCCTCACTATCCTCGTAAAAACTCTTCACTGCTTTCAGTAACCTACCTCCTACACCATACACTTGCAACATCTGCCACATTGCCCCCCTATCCACCCTGTCATACGCCTTTTCCAAATCCACTAAATGCCACAAAGACCTCTTTAGCCTTATCTAAATACTGTTCACTTATAAGTTTCACTGTAACACCTGGTCCACACACCCCCTACCTTTCCTAAGCCTCCTTGTTCATCTGCTATCCTATTCTCCGTCTTACTCTTAATATCTTTCAATTATAACTCTACACATACAACTTTACCAGGTACACTCAACAGACTTATCCCCTATAATTTTTGCACTCTCTTTTATCCCCTTTGCCTTATACAAAGGAACTATGCATGCTCTCTGCCAATCCCTAGGTACCTACCCTCTTCCATACATTTATTAAATAATTGCACCAAACCACTCCAAAACTATATCCCCACCTGCTTTTAACATTTCTATCTTTATCCCATCAATCCCGGCTGCCTTACCCCCTTTCATTTTACCTACTGCCTCACGAACTTCCCCCACACTCACAACTGGCTCTTCCTCACTCCTACCAAGATGTTATTCCTCCTTGCCCTATACACGAAATCACAGCTTCCCTATCTTCATCCAACATTTAACAATTCCTCAAAATATTCCTTCCATCTTCCCAATACCTCTAACTCTCCATTTAATAACTCTCCTCTCCTATTTTTAACTGACAAATCCATTTGTTCTCTAGGCTTTCTTAACTTGTTAATCTCACTCCAAAACTTTTTCTTATTTTCAACAAAATTTGTTGATAACATCTCACCCACTCTCTCATTTGCTCTCTTTTTACATTGCTTCACCACTCTCTAACTTCTCTCTTTTTCTCCATATACTCTTCCCTCCTTGCATCACTTCTACTTTGTAAAAACTTCTCATATGCTAACTTTTTCTCCTTACTACTCTCTTTACATCATCATTCCACCAATCGCTCCTCTTCCCTCCTGCACCCACTTTCCTGTAAACCACAAACTTCTGCTGAACACTCTAACACTACATTTTTAAACCTACCCCATACCTCTTCGACCCATTGCCTATGCTCTCATTAGCCCATCTATCCTCCAATAGCTGTTTATTCTTACCCTAACTGCCTCCTCTTTTTAGTTTATAAACCTTCACCTCTCTCTTCCCTGATGCTTCTATTCTCCTTGTATCCCATCTACCTTTTACTCTCAGTATAGCTACAACTAGAAAGTGATCTGATATATCTGTGGCCCCTAAAAACATGTACATCCTGAAGTCTACTCAACAGTCTTTTATCTACCAATACATAATCCAACAAACTACTGTCATTCGCCCTACATCATATCGTGTATACTTATTTATCCTCTTTTTCTTAAAATATGTATTACCTATAACTAAACCCCTTTCTATAACAAAGTTCAATCAAAGGGCTCCCATTATCATTTACACCTGGCACCCCAAACTTACCTACCACACCCTCTCTAAAAGTTTCTCCTACTTTAGCATTCAAGTCCCCTACCACAATTACTCTCTCACTTGGTTCAAAGGCTCCTATACATTCACTTAACATCTCCCAAAATCTCTCTCTCTCCTCTGCATTCCTCTCTTCTCCAGGTGCATACACGCTTATTATGACCCACTTCTCGCATCCAACCTTTACTTTAATCCACATAATTCTTGATTTACACATTCATATTCTCTTTTCTCCTTCCATAACTGATCATTTAACATTACTGCTACCCCTTCTTTGCTCTAACTCTCTCAGATACTCCAGATTTAATCCCATTTATTTCCCCCCACTGAAACTCTCCTACCCCCTTCAGCTTTGTTTCGCTTAGGGCCAGGACATCCAACTTCTTTTCATTCATAACATCAGCAATCATCTGTTTCTTGTCATCCGCACTACATCCACGCACATTTAAGCAACCCAGTTTTATAAAGTTTTTCTTCTTCTCTTTTTTTAGTAATTGTATACAGGAGAAGGGGTTACTAGCCCATTGCTCCCGGCATTTTAGTCGCCTCATACGACACGCATGGCTTACGGAGGAAAGATTCTTTTTTCCACTTCCCATGGACAATAGAAAAATAAAAAAGAACAAGAGCTATTTAGAAAAAAGAGAAAAACCTAGATGTATGTATATATATATATGCATGTGCGTGTCTGTGAAGTGTGACCAAAGTGTAAGTAGGAGTAGCAAGATATCCCTGTTATCTTAGCGTGTTTATGAGACAGAAAAAGAAACCAGCAATCCTACCATCATGCAAAACAGTTACAGGTTTTTGTTTCACAGTCATCTGGCAGGACGGTAGTACTTCCCTGGGTGGTTGCTGTCTACCAACCTACTACCTACAACTACATAATAATGCAGTAGTCTGCATAACACGAAATCTTGTATTTTTTGTGTGAATAAAAATTCAAAATGTAAAGCAAGAGCAATATAAGGGGGGCCTGGAGAAGTGACTAATGAACAGAGAAAATGTTATTTTAGTGAGAGGAATGTCTGCATTGTTTATTCTGGACCCTATTTTGAAATTGGCAACATTTGTGTGTAATTGGCCAAATTGCCAATTGCTGCCCACTTTATTGGGTAGCTGAAATCGCTAAATGGGTGGTTTCTTGTTCTCAATCGATAGAGCAAACAGAGTTCTACAGAAATAGCTACGAGTTTGGTCGACTGGAATAATGGAACTGACTGAAAATAGGGCTCAAAGTGGGAGAAATTGCCGATGTGTATATATTGCCTAGACCGTTAACTTCGCGAGAGAGGAATTCCACAAGTTTTCCATCAAATTTTGTACTTTCCGTGTCATTACCATTGGGAAAAGAGTCCAGAATTTCAAAAAAAAATTTTTTTTAAATTCTTCGACACCAAGAGCAAGTTTGTGAGCACGGGTCTCAATAGTGAAAGGGTTAAGAAGAAAGAGAAAGAGAAGAAAAAATAAAGTGGACACAGGAACCAATATTAATTTTAGTAGTCTGGACACTGAAAGGGTTAAGAAGTCTTTCACAACCCAAACCAACACTTAATATTTTTGTTTTCCTTTATAAATTTTCAAAATAGAATAGCCAAGGTCAGTGACAATTTCTAAATTTTAAACATGTTTCTTTTGTTTTATAGGATATT